TAACTCAAGTGTATTCTTAGGGTTTTTCCAGCTTCTTACTATCTCAGACAGGACACTCCATTAGAATAGGCATTCTCCCCTCAGAATCTAGCCCACAGACCTCATCCAAGTCCAACAAAACCACCGTACAAGGGTCAGAGGGACAAAGGAGAAACTCACATAGGTTCAGCCTTCCATTAGCAACCCATTGTCAAATAAGCTGAAAATAAAGTCCTCTCAAGAGGTAGGTCAAGGTCTAGAGCAAAATAGTCCTCACCTACCTTTACAGCTTAATTTCCCCCTACTTCCCTACATGTCTTCTATGGTACTAGAAAAACAGAATTACTACTATACTTCATATTCTCTGAAATACACATTTTTTCTGTCTCTATATCATGGTAAAGTTCTTCCTACCTAGAATCCCCTTCCTCCTTACCATGACTGTAACATTAATTTCTACTTTTACCTACTCTTTCAGAGCCAGATGACATATTACCTTCACTTTAAGTGGTTCCCATAGTCCCCTTTTAAAGGGAATAATAGCTTTCTCCTTAAAAGTATAGTACTACCACTCATTATATAGTACCACAGTACTACATAGTACATTTTATCTACCATATTATACAATATTATATAGCACTATGTTATATAGTATATAGAGGATACATGTTATTATATACTATATATAATATATACCTTATATATGTATATATACACACATACACAGTATTATATACTCATTCACTGCCTGTATTTTTGTTTTAAACCCTTTACTCAGCTGTGGGAAACCTATGGGCAGGGACCATGCCAGACTCATCCCTGTGTCCTCCACATCACATAGTGGTAATAAATAAATATTTATTGAATTATTAAGTGTATATCAATCATTGTATATTAAATAAATCCCCAAGGTTCCTGGTTCATGAGTTTCTTTGTAACATAATTTTCATAACCTTCATTAAATAGGGCTTCAATATATTCACATACATAAGGTAATTCACAGTTTAAGAATAACTAAATATAATAAAATAAAGATAAGAGTTTTGACATATTGGGATGAAAATATACAGTAGAGAAAAAATGCCCAACAATTAGGCATCAGAAAAGTTTCACTCTCTTAGGTAGAGTATGTATGGTAATGCTAAAGGTCAAAAGCTGATGACCCAAACCTGGATAATAGCTTATAAATTAATGAACAAAGGTCTTGTTCACACACTAGAAAAAAACATTCTAAATTTAGACCTCACACTTTGATGACAAGTGCCCTTGCAAAGTGTGACCATAAAGCAAAAGTATATTGTACTTTGTGGTAAATTACTTAAGGTGAAAGGCTACATTTTATTTATCTTTGTACCCCTATAGTGCCTGATGGATTAAAATCCAAAGATACTTGTTAAAACCAATAAAGACATTTAAATAACTGCTGTCCCATTTTTAAAAAGCCACCTTGCAAGACTGATGCACTACAACAATAATTTCATTTCAGAGACTATACATTGTTCTTTACTATCTATGACAGCAAGTTAAAACTTTTTAGCCTAGGATTCACATCCTGTCACAATTTTCTTTCCTTTTCTAAAAGTTCATTTCCCACTTCTTCCTTCAAGCATTTTATCTGACAGTCAAATTGAACTTCCTGATTATACACTCGCTTGCCTCTGTACCTCAGGTCATTTGGCAATTTCTTATGTCATTTATCATTTTGTTCCCTGTATTGTATCTTACACAGAGCTTGCTTCCCTTCCCAGATTCTAAATTCCCTATATCAGATTATCTATCCTTAATTATATTTTTATATATCTTTAATTATATTTTATTACCTAGCCCAACATGGTAGACACACACACACACACACACACACACACACACACACGCACACGCACACACACACACACACACTCAGTCAAAGGAATTACTGAATGTATAAATAATACCAACGGAGCTCAAATCTGGAAGCTACTTTATGACAACCGATAGAAGAAAATGTTTCCTTAAATTATAGCTGGGTTCTTAAATATAAGTAGGCATGAAAAATACTTGGAAAACTTGTTAAACATGCAAATTCTTGGTGTTAGCTATCAGAAGGGGGCTTGAAGGAATACCAAGAGGCAACTGTAATGACCTAATGAGAAGGAATAAACTTCTGAACCACAGTTGAGAGTAAAGAGGACAGAGAGGAAGAAACAGGCACAAGAGGATCCCAGGCGCACTCCCGGCAGTGGGAGCATCATCAAACCCTTCCTTTGTAGGAAAAGCATTTCTTGGCTGGTTTTCCTCAAATCTGATCTTTGACTTTTGAAATCAGGATGACAAATGTATTTATTTTAGGTTCCATTCACTTAAATGTACATAGAGAAACTATGACTATTTTTCTCAGAATACTTTACAGCTATATACCACATTTCAAAATGCACAATACATAGGCTGAACCATAAAAACTTTTTATCCAATAAAGCCCTTTGAAAAAAATGTCCTTACATGTTAGATATTGCAAAAGATAAGCTCTGCTTATAAAGCAGCCAGGTACTGAGAGAAGTAACGTATTCTTTTTAGATGATTTCAAACAGAGGATATGAATTATAGGAAGACTTAAAGTAGCTAAGAAGAAAAGAGGTTTTTTTGCCTTTCAGAAGTTTATGAAATGCCCATATTCCAAACTTCATACACTGAACTCCTTAGGGTAGTCCGATATAGTACACGCTATCTGTCACTCCTCTACCCATTTGGCAAAAACTACATAGAGACAAATGTTACAGAGGCTCAAAAATGGAGACTTCTGGAAAAATGACCAAAGCCAGAAATAAAGTTGTACTAATTAGAAAACAAATAATTAAATGGCCAAACCCGAATGCTGTGTGATGCTGAAAAGAGATAGATTTCTAAGGCACACCATCTGTTTTACAGTTTTTGATTTTGCTGTGCTACAAATCTACTCAGAACAGTTTTGCCATGATCTAGCTGCTAGCTCATTTGCACAATTACTTCAGGCCAGAAAAACTCATCGCACAGAAGCATTTCAGAGATCAACACATTCATAGAAGAGGGCAGATAGAAATCAGCTTTCAGTGAAGACTAGTTTTTAAGCCCTTGAAGGAAAAAAATATTATTCAAAAACATGATTAGAAATTGCCAAAGGAAAATGAGAGAATTGAAAGGAACAGTGATATCACTGTAAATCTCTGATACATATCTAAACTGACCTGGGCCTTCAGGGTCACCACCAATCTCTCTGTTGGCCAGTCTAATGAAAACTCATCTTGCCTTGACCTCTCAGCAGCATTTACCTGGGAGCTGAGCTCTCACTTTCTCAACCTTCTCACTTAACTTCTCTGGTACCACTCTCCGGATGGTCTCCTCTTCTCACCTGCTATCCCTTCTCTTCTGAATATTGTAGTGTCTAACAGCAGGGTGCTGGGGCCTCTTCTCCTTTCTATCTGTACCCTCTTACTAATTTATCTCTTCAGCCCGAAGACTTTACATGGCATCTATACACTCATGATTCCCAAATTTCTATCTCCAGCTCGGACTTCCCAGTTCCAGACTCACATAGCCAATGTTCTAGTTAACATTTCCACCTGGATCTAGTTAACATTTCCACAAAAATGTCCACCTTTGCACATCTGATATGGAACTCTTGTGTCATCACCCTCCCTGAAGGAAAAAAAACCCTGGCAGTCATCCTTGATTCCTCCCTTAATCTCATTCCTCATTTAATCCACACCAAGCCCTGTCAATGATACCTTAAAAGCATATCACATGTATTTCTCTCCAACTCTATTGCTACCACCCTGTCCAAACCACCGTCACCTTGAGACAATGCCACTGCAAGGTAAGCATATCATGTATCTCCAGTACCTAGCACAGTGTCTAGCAAATAATAGATGTACAATAATTTTTTCATAGATGAATACTGCTTAGCAATATTTCCTATGTGTATTTAGAAAGCTCTAATCTCAGTTCTTAAAACATTTTCTGAAATACCTACAGGCTTATTCATTTATCAAATCATTCACTCATTCAGCAATTCTTTACTGAGTATTGTATTAGTTGGTCTTAGGCTCAACAACGTATTTTACACTGTCTTAAAGATGGCAGAAGTTTGTTTCCTGTTCTTATGAAAGCCTGGAGGTGAACAGCCAAAGGCTGGCACAGCAGCTCTGTGAGCTAAGCGCCCTGGTTCCTTGCATCTTATTGCTCTGCAGTCCTCACTTTATGGATCCCATTCTATGGTCTAATATGGCGAGTCAAACAATGATGGGGATGAGGAATGCCATGCTCTTCCTATTTAAAGACATTTCCCAATAATTTCTCCTACTTCCCCCATCATAACTAACAAAAACTAGGGATAACTAGCAAAGAAGACCAGATAGCAATGTTTCCAGCTACAAGTGAGGATCCTCATTACCAGATGAAAAAAAGAGAATAAATATTGGGAGGTAAGTAGCAGTTTCTTCCAAGGTTCCTATTATGACCAGGTAATGTTCTCAGTACAGAAATACAAAGCTGGGTAAGATATAGGGTCTATGCTGAAGGCAGTTAGTCTAATGGGGGAAAGCAATATGCAAATGAATAATTACTCAAAATTTCAGGCCAGCTAACAGCCACCGTTAGGAGATCTTGGTTTTTCTAAGTCCCCAAAGATTCCTTCTATCCAAAGAGCTGAAAGAAAAGTGAACAGGTCCAGTGCTTTACATCACTGAACTATACAGACTGCTTCAATATTCCAGTTTTCATAATGCGCATTTCTCAGCTCTCTTCTACAGGACTTGATAAGGCATGGAACAGAGCAGACTTCATTTAAACCTCTGTAAACATATATAAACAACTGTGGTAATAGTTTTAATAATATGAAAATATCCATTTGAGAAATGTGTTAAGGCTCAATCATTTCTTTTAGCTTGTCAAAAGATGATACTAATTGACTATTTTAAAGACTATATATAAACTACAAGGCCAAATTTAAAAAAAAGCAATGATAGCATGTCAAAAAGAAAAAAAAAAGAAGTAATACTATCACTTACTGTTAACCACTGGTTATCTAGGAGTTCCTTAGCTGTGATTCTGTGAGCAGGGTCTACTTTCATAAGTTGTTTCAAAACACTTTTAGCTGCAAATAAGGGAAAATCCTGAAAATCTTGTCTTAGCAACAATTAATACCATACATTTTCCAGTTTATTTAAGATTAGGTCTATATGACCTGAAGGGATGATTCCAATTTTTAAAAAAATATCATCAATATAAATGGTTAATAAATAATGTTTCAGGCCTACAGTGAGGTTTTATGGCCTGGATTAGCCGGTTTACGGTCTACAGTAAAAATGAGGTAGATGATTGGCAATTTCCTCTTCAATTTTTACTATGTATCTTCTGTTTTTGTTGGAAGTTTTGACAACATTCACAGTGATAAGATCACTATTTCTATGAGTAAATACTGTTTATTTCTACAAGTAAATGTAATGATTAAACAGATTTCGAGTATTTGAATTACTAGCCAAGTTTCTTACATTACATATATTTCCTTTAGTAAATAATAACAAATCTATACTTACCGCAATCACTTATGGAATCCCAGACTGGATCTTCAAAATGTAGTTCTCCCTTTCTTATTAGCTCAAACAGCTTCTCTTCTGAGCTTGCCAGAAAGGGTGGTTCTCCATATAATCTACAATAAAGGCAATCATTTTGTTTAGAGTTTTTAAAAATAATCAAAATGAGGTAACAAACTGAGGGCTGATGGGGGTGGGGGAGAGGGGAAGGCGGGTGATGGGCATGGAGGAGGGCACTTGTGGGGATAAGCACTGAGTGTTATATGGAAACCAACTTGACAATAAACTATTAAAAAATGAGGCTATTGAAAACTAAGTTTCAGTAGGACTTGGAAGTAGGGGTGCTTCAAACTTAAATAAAGGATAGCTAGAAGTGGGCATCTCTCTAGATGTACAAACAGAAGAACAGGGTTTCTGCAGATCAGTGCTAGGCCCTTATAGACATTGAAGTCTCCAGATTAGCAAATGGCCCAAAGGTGTTCCAGATGGGGGAGAACTAAGCTTAAATAGGGCCAAAATACAGGAAGGTGTGAGATTTTAAGTGTACAAATAACAGTGGAGACACACTTCAGTGTGAGTGAGGATAACGTAATGCTTTACAGGACGTAATTCAAACTGAAAGTTGAGGAAAATACACTGAGTTATCAGAGTCCAGTGAGAGTTGTATCCATGGTAAAATATTACACAAATGTTGGTAAGAATAAACCAAGAACAACCCTGGGGTGTATCGGCTCTGAGTCAAAGTCAAAAACATGTTAAAATGGACACAACTCTTCAAAACTGGAATACAAAAGGAAGATAATCTGGATGAAGAAAGTTAGATGATGATGATTTGACCCTTCAGTCTGGAATGAAAGCTGGGTGTACATAGTGATCAACATCAGTAAAACCGTTGGCAGCATATATAAAGTCATTATGGGCGTGTTGCATATTCTGTAATACAGGGACTCTGTGTCTTCAGAATCTTTTCAAAGGAAGTACTGTACTGTATCTTACAAAGAGCATGGCTAGCCTATGCTTCAGTTAGTAATCCAGACCCAAACTACAAGAACTTGTGTAAAAGCTGAGTTCAGTTCTTCATAGTATATTCTCAACAAATGTTAGCCATCATCTTTTCTGTTAATCCCTACCTCTGAATACAACCCTATAGACAACAACCAGATTTTGCAAATGACAACCAGACAGAAGCTGGAACTGGACTCATCACAGAGGCAATACCATATGCCTGTCGTCAACTCTCAGGATTATATTTTTCCACTTTATTACTGAAAGAATAAAATGTCATAATTACATTACACTCTTCAAATGTTAGTCTATTATGTCCATAAGTATAATGATCTCTAAGTTGCCCAGCAATTAGATTTTTACTTTTACTTTTAAAGTTATATTTTGGAGTTCTTTTAAAATCTTTACCATGAACATTTTTTGAATAAATCTAAATTTTCTAAATAATTCACATGATAATGAGGATGATGATGATGATTTCCTGGGGAAAAAACTGCTTTCATCCTTGTAGTTTCTCAGTCTAGGCTGGAAAACAGAGCTTTTTTCATTTGCATAGCTTCTTGTTAAGAGACATTTATCAAGTTGTTCTACAATCTCTTATTTTAATACTTTTTATTTCTTCAGCTCATTGTGATCCTCCTCTCTCTGATCTTATTTGCGTCACTATTGTTTAGTTTCAAAATGCAAAAAAAAAAAAAAAAGCTAGATAAACGGTCTTACGGACAATTACTATTATAACAAGTACAGCCCATCAAGAGTCCAGCTCATTGAGTCTGTTAACAACCAGTGATATGCACATTCACCAATTTCTTAGCTGCCCCTGCATTGCCTGACTAGCATGCCCCTATAGCTTAAGGGCTATGTTAAAAAAAAAATCTCACTTTTTTTCTGTCCTTTGCAATTTTACTTACACAAAATGTATCTAATGGTTGGTCAATCAGCAGCATATGAAATTTTATGACAGCAATTTTCTGCACATACAGAAAAGGGAATCCAAGACATGAAAAATGCCTCTTGAAGCCTTTCTATTATTTTCTGTTGCCTTCGTAGGAATCACAACAGCAGAGGATAGTACCCATGAAGAGTGTTTATGTTAATTTCACCTTGAGGAAGTACATTATCATTGTCCAATTAAGCAGAAATGAATCAGGGGTAACTGATAAACAAGAAAATAACCCCCCTGGAAAAGGTAATATGTTTGTGCCCTTGGTGAAAGAAATTATCTATGAGAACACCAGGCTCAGGCAAATTAATGAATAGGCACTGATTAGCTAAGTAAGAGTCTACTGTAAAGAAAAAAATATGTCATTATGATGATATGCAGTCACGCTCTGAAGCAGAAAAATTAAAATTATATCTTTAAGAAGGAGGAAAAACTTAAGATATGTAATACACTATCACTTTCTTTAACAACAAATTCAAACTAAGAAGGCAGCAAACACCACATGAATTGTATAATAATAGATTACATATATTGTGTTTGACTTGTCTGGAAATTCTTCTAAGTATAAAACACTAATTTAAAATAGTCATATTTTTAATTAAAGACTAAGGCTCAGAATTTTTATGGTATGATTGTAATCAGCACAAAACAATGATCAAAAACTTTGTGAATACATTTTTACTTTATGCAATCCGAGCAGTGATGTGTGTTGACCATGTGAGTTACAGCCACAATCACATCTTCCAATTTCTACTGCCTGCGAATTCCATTTCACAGAACTGTGAAAATGTAACTACTGTGATGTCAATATTTAGAAATGATCTGGAAGAGGTAGTGCACAGTGAAATCTTCAATATGACCATAAAACTAATGTTGCATCAGCATAAAAATGTTCATACTCACCAAGAGGCAGAACAATGGCCACTAACTTTTCAGAACACCTCTTAAACAATTCGCTTTAATTCAATTTAACGAACATATATTGAGCACTGACATGCCTACCATTGTACCAGATACTAGGGATGCAAAGATGAATATCTCTTTCTTCATGGAATTTAGAGCAAGGAAAACAAAAAAAGAAAACAGAAACATACTCTGATAATTATATTTCAACAGTATAATCTTGTTTTAAAAAATGGTATGAGAACACAGGAAAGTGAACAATTCTATAAAATGTACACATGTGTAAACTTTCCTGACGAAATATTATTGTTTTTCATTCAGTGTTATTGTTTTGCATGCATTTTTGTATCTTGTCTTAACTCCTCTGTGGAGTGAGGGAATATATACATATAATGAATGCAGTAACTTTGCTGGGGTAGACAGTAGGAGTAAGAGAAACAGAAGGTGTTAACGTTTGAGCTGGAGGACCCAGGAGAAAGGTTAGTTAGAGAAATAAAAGAACATTCTAAGTAGAAGGAACTGCAAGTAGAAGGAACTGCATGAGCAAAGACCCAGAGACATGTGATACATGGTATATGAATCATAAAGAGTGGCCTGCATGGCTCCAGCATAGGGTAGGTGCGTGGGGATACACATCTAACTCAAGACTGGAAAGGCATACTGGAGCCAGGTCATGAAAGACTCACTCCCATGCCATGCTGGGATGCTCTGACATTTTTCTATAACAAGGGAGAAGTATCAGAGGGTGTGAATCAGAGAAGTAGTACCATCAGAGTTGAGATTTATTTTTTTAATATAATTTATTGTCAAATTTGCTAACATACAGTGTGTAAAGTGTGCTCTTGGTTTTGGGGGTGAATTCCCATGGTTCATCACTTACATACAACACCCAGTGTTCGTTCATCCCAACATAGTGCCCTCCTCAATGCCCATCACCCATTATCCCCTTTTCCCCACCTGCCCAACCACCTTCAGTTTGTTTTCTGTATTTAGGAGTCTCTTATGGTATGCCTCCTTCCCTCTCTGTTTGTAACTATTTTCTTCCCCTTCCCTTCCCCCATGGTCTTCTGTTAAGTTTCTCAAGATCTACATGAGTGAAACATATGACATCTGTCCTCCTCTGACTAACTTATTTAGAAAACCCTGACAGCAATGTGAAGGATGAACTAGGGAGGGAGACCAGGGGCATGAAGAACAGTCAGAAAGACGATGTCATATTCTAGAAAAGGGATCATAAGGAGAAATGATACGAGTGAAGAGAAACCAAAGAATTTCCTTTTCAAAGGAAAAATGAACAGGACATGGGGTTTGATTGAATCTTGAGAGTGAGAAAGAATCAGTGATGGTCGGTAGCAGTAAGAGGATTAGGAGCTATGGACTACTCCCTGGATCCTGGGCTGAACCTCTGTCTAGTTAGCATCCCACTCCTCACATATGCCCTGTCCACAGGACCGCTAGGTGCCAGATCATAGTACCTGTCTCTGCCGATAAATCTCTTGAGAAAATACAAAGAAGCTTTCTGGTTTGTAGCAAAGGATCAGAGAGGTGTTAAGCAAGAGTTCATTCAGATCATGTCATGTATTCTAGCATTTATAGGTCAATGGAAAGCAAACCTGTATGTTATAAATTTATAGTATTAAAAAAATACCTAGAGGATGTAGCTGACAACTAGTAAGAGAACTTTTAGAAGGACTTCTCAATTGTTTTTTCAGTCTATCTTGTTGAGCCTTAATTTAAAATCTATGTAATTCTACAGTTAGGGACTACCCATTCATTTTAAACTGTACCTTTAGCGAGCTACTTACAGAATGTACATTATGACACCTATGCTCCAAATGTCACACTGCTGGCTATAGTCATGGGCATTGATAACTTCAGGGGCTGTCAAATAAGCAGAAATGAAATAATATTAATAATACAATAAATGAAGTTTAAACGCTTAAACACAAAGCATGAAAAATGTGCTGATGTGTTGTAATTTATTCCTCCACAGGGAAAAGGAGAACCAACAGCAGATGTTAAATGAATAATGTACAGGCCTTAACAATTGATGTCATTGTACCCTCACTCCTGTCATTTAGCTTCTAATGGAATGATGGCATAAACTGTGTAACTAAATGTACTACTCTTCATTCCTTTGAAATTGTTAAGAAATTATTTTGCAAAGATTGTGTAAGTTACAGTAGAAGACAACAATATCTCAGTTCCTTTCCAAAAATAGAATTGAATACATGCCTGAAGTGGATACAATTTAAAGCAAGCCCAATATGTGGAAATCTGGATTCACAGAGAAACGAAGATAAATGGTTATAAGTCACTTTAGTAAAATAATAATAATAACACAGCACTCCTATGACAGGACACAAATTATTTTCCACATGTTCTAAATGAGAAAACTAAGGCAAAGAGAGAGCTCCTACAGTCTAACTGGATCAAAAAGCCAACGAGGACAAGGATCCTGGCATTCTGAGTCCCAGCTCTGTGCTCCGTACTTTACATTGTGTTCACAATAGGACTTTTTTAAACAAGCTTCTCAAAATAGTTGTTTTTTCTTTTCTTTCTTTCTTTCTTTCTTTCTTTTACTTTAAGGGAGCACATTTTAATGATTAGATTACTTTATAATGTCTGGCTTTTAAATGGCTTTAAAAAATGTCACATATGATATTTCAGGAATAGCCTATTGTGCCTCTATGGCAAGAGATCAAATATCTTTCCTTAAGGATAAAGAAAGAATAAAACAGTTATAAACATAAAAAAAGAAAATGTAGGTATATATATTTCAAAAGAACTTTAATATTTACAAAGTAATTTTATATAAATTATGTTATTTGTATAAATCATGTATGAATCTTGGGATGAGCATCTGGCTCCCTTTGCCAGTGGGGAAACTAAGGTTCAGATATATGAAGTGACGTGCCTAAAGTTGCATAGCTACAGAGTGCCCCCTACATAAAAGGTGTTATTTTAGAAAAGTTTCATTCTCCTGCCCCCCACCTCTCTTTTGTAACTACTAAAAGTAAATGGAATTTCACTTCCTCTGCCTGTTGTCAAAGGAACTAAAAAGCAACAAAAAGGAATCAAAACGTAAAGAGAAGAAAGAATGGGTAAAGTCTCAACTATAGATAATTAACAAAACTGGGTAATTCATTTCCAAATCACTGAAAATTAATTAGTATCTTCCTTTAAGCAACTACTTGTAGTCCTTAACTCTACTTAAACTCTTTAAATACGGAATCATTAAAGTTCAAGTCGCTTTGTGGCCTTGAGTCAATGACAAGGGCAAGTCTATGATTCGATTCCATGAAAGCCCTCCACACTGGGTGCCCCAAAAGGCAGGGGCCGGGATTCTGGGCCTTCGTCTTTCAGAGCCATTTTAATTACTGGGGGTGTTTCCATGTGCGCTGCCATCACAGCCCTCACAGGGAGGCAGAGGCCAGAATGACGGTGCCAGGGAGCCATTTAGGAAGTCAGCAAAGCTCTACAAACCATCTGTCTTCTCTCTTGTTCTCTCACTTGTTATCAGTGTAGACAGCTAATAAGCAGGCATAAAACTCAGGGTGCTTGGATATATTTTCCCCATGTAACTACAGACCAGATGTCTTTTGCCAACAGGAGGATATGAACAGAATCTCAAGTAGCCTTTTCCCAAATAAGATAGAACAGTTTTGAAACTTTATATATCAAGTAGGCAAAAAAAAACAAAAAACAAAAAACAAAAAAAAACAAAAAAAACCCCAGAACTAAGTATACTCTTCAGCAATAGAAATGAATAATCCATTGATATGACATGGGTAAGTCTCAAAATCATGACACAGAACAGAAGAAGACAGACACAAGAATGTACACCGATACAAATAAAGTTCTAGACAAGCAAAACTAAGGTTTAGTGATAAAAATCATCAGTAGTTGTTGGGGTCTAGGTCGGAGACTGACAGAGAGCGACACAAAGGAATTTTCCAGGGCAAAAGACATGATCTATACCTTCATTGGGGTGGTGATTATATAAGCATATGCATTTGTCAAAATGCATTGAACTTTACACTTAAAATCTGTGCATTTTATTGTATGTAAATTATGTTTCAATAAAGTAATATTTTAAAAGAAATCTATAAAAGGTACAAAAATACTTGTTAAATCCCTATCTTGGTGGATGACTTTAATAACTCTCTATCTTTGAAATCAACAGAAGCAATCAAAATTAAGTTAATAATATGGAACGTTTGAATCACAAAGGTATCATACTTGATTTTGTAAATACATGCACAGAGAAATTTGTGTGGTCAATAAAACAGAAATATATACACATTCTAAATATCCAATGCAACATTTGCAAAAACCAACTATGTGTTCAATCACAAAAAAACATTCCTAGAAGCTGAAAACCTTTAAGTCACAATTCTCAGGACAATGAAGAAAAGCAGGCAGAAAAACCAAAGGCTAGGAAAACTAACCCATATTCACATGAACATCAAACATATCCCAACCACCTGGGAAATTCTAAAAGCATTTCTAAATGATTCTTGGATTAAAGAAGACTGAAACTAAAATTATAGACTATTAAAAAATGAATAATAGTTAGAAAGAATACTGTATAGCAATAGAAATGGTCAAAGAAATACTCAGGAAAATATGTAGAAAATAAGAAGACTGAACATAAATAAGCATTTAGCTTAGGAAGTTAAATAAACCAAAAGAAAACATAAAGAATGAATTCAGAAAGATAAAAGCAGAAATTAATGAAAAAGCCAACCAAATAACATTAGACTTGAGCTGGTTCTTTGAAAGCCCAATAAATTGTCCTAACCACTAACAAATCTGATCAAGAAAAAAAAATGATTAGTATTATTGCAAGAGCTTAAATTGAGCACTAAGTATCAGGTAATGTGCTAAGCACTTTACATATATTTTCTCTTTCAAATCTCATGTCAACCTGATAAGAAAGACATTATTATTACCATCCTAAATACATCCTTTCCCCTTCCTTGGTTTATTTTTCTTTCTTAGCACTTCTTTCTAACATCCCAGATAATACCAGACATTTTACTTTTTTATTTTGTTTAATGCTTGCACCCACATGACATTTTTAAAAAGTTTGTTCACTGCTGTGGTCCCAATACCCAGACCAGTTCCTATACAAAGTAGACCCTCAAAAATTGTTTGACAAATGGATAACATACTCCCCATTATACAGATGTAGAACTGCAACAAAAGCAGTCAGGTTGTTTGCCCAGGGGTAAGTGATAGAGCTGGAATCCCCAGTTAGCCAGGTGATGCAGGACATATTGCTAATATGACATCATATGACCTTCTTAAAAAAAATTAGGAATTATTAAAGGGACAGAACCACAGATACACTGGAGAATTAGAAAACTGTAAGTGTAGGGTGCCTGGGTCGCTCAGTCCGTTAAGCATCCGACTTCAGCTCAGGTCATGATCTCACAGTTTGTGGGTTTGAGCCCCGCCTCGGGCTCTGTGCTGACAGCTTGGAGCCTGAAGCCTGCTTCAGATTCTGTGTCTCCCTCTCTTTCTGCCCCTCCCCTACTCATGCTCTATGTGTCTCTCAAAAATAAGTAAACATTAAAAAATTTTTTAATAAAAAAAGAAAAAATTGTAAGTGAATATAATATGCACATTTATGTCAATAAACCTTAAAATCTCAACACAATGAACAATTTTCTATCAAAACAATTCAAGAAGGTGTGGAAAATGTGACTAACCCAGAAAAAGTATAATAGAAACTTAATCTACCAAATATAATAGAAAATATAATAGAAACTTAATCTACCAAATGGTACCAGGGCCAAAAAATTTTAAGGGGAAATTTCATCAAACTATTAATGAATAGATAATTTCTGTTACTTAGCAGTTAATGAGCATATCATTTTATTTTTTAAACGAGGCTAGTATAACCCTAACAACAAAAAAGGCAAGGGCAGCACAAAAGAAAGAATGCTACATTCAAAGTATCTAAATAAAGTGGTGACAAGTTGAATAGAGTAGTATATTAAACCAACTGGAGTTTAATTCAAAGGTGCAAGGATAGTTCAACATTTCAAAAACCAATTAATGCAGTTATTTTGTTAATAAATATAAAGAGAAAACATATATAATCATCTCCTAGGTACAGATTTGAATAGACTTTTCATCAAAGAAGATTATGAATGACTAATAGCTATGTGAAAAGATGCTCACCCTCATTGGCCATTAGGAAAATTAAATAAGCAAATTAAAAACCACGAGGAGATACCACTTCACACCCACTACATTGACTATAATTACAAGAAAAGGTGTTTATCAAGTGTCAGCAAGGATAAAAAGAAACTGGAATTCTCATACCTACATGCTAGTGGAAAGGTAAAATGCTATAGTCACTTTGAAAAGCCATTTGGCAGTTTCTTGAAAACTTAAACATAAATAATCTATGACCCAGCAACTTCACTTCTAGGTAGCTCCCAAAGAAAATGTGTCCACACAAAAGTCTAGACACAAAAGTTCATAGCAGCATTATTCATGATAGCCCCAAACTGGACACAATCTCTGTATCCATCAGCTAACAGATGAACGAAAGGTGGCATATCCATGCCACAGACAACTGTTCAGAAATATGAAGGGACAGACTACGGCTACACCAGGAAGGTACTGCAAAAACAGTTCACTTAAGTGAAAGAAGCCAGACATAAAAGACAACATATGGTATGACTCCCTTCATACAAAATGTCCAGGAAAGGCAAATATAGAGACACAAAAAGATTAGTGGTTACTAATTAGGGGTACAAACCGGGGTTTGTACTGAGTACAATTGGGCAGGAGGCAATTTTGTGGGGTAGAATTATTCTAAAACCGGACTGTGGTGGTGGTTGCACAAGTCTGTGAATGTAGGAAAAAAATCACTGAATGGTATGCTTTTTATGGCATTTAAATTGTACCTCAGTAAAGCTGCTAAAAATCACACTTGGAAAAACGGTAAACTGTTGCTTTACAAAATATATTTAATCGGTACTCTTTATGATGTACCATTTGATGGCAATAAAATTGGATAAAAAAATGGAAAAAAGCAAAACACACACATCATTTCAGCATGAATTCACAAAACCAATAATTAAGTTTGGGGTATGATTACCTAAGAGATATAAACAAGTGTAAGAAGAGTCCGGAAAACCAAGAAAAACTATAATCTTTAAAGATAAGAACTGTGAGAAAAATAGTAAAACAATGAAATTATTTGACCTAGGAAAAGAAAAAGTAGCTTGATTACAGGGCCATTAAGTCAAATTAGGGCAAAACAGACTGCTCAAGGTTTTTTTCTTTTTCTGTTATTTTTTAAAATTGAAGTATAGTTGTCATACAACATTATATTAGCTTCAGGTGTACAACATAGTGATTTAACATTTATATACATTACTAAATGATCACCACAATAGGTCTAGTCACCATCTATCACAAAGTTATTACGATGTTACTGACTATATTCTCTATGCTGTACATCCCCGTGACTCATTTATTTTATAACTGGAAGACTGTACCTCTTAATCCCGTTTACCTATTTTGCCCATCACCTCCAAAACTACCAGTTTGTTCTCTGTATCTACGAGTCTGTTTCTGTTTTGTTTTGTTTGTTTATTTGCTTTATTTTTTTTAGATTCCACCTTTAAGTGAAATTATATGGCATTTTCCTCTCTCTCTCTGTCTGACTTCTTTAACTTAGCCTAATGCCCTCTAGGTCCATCTGTGTTGCTGCAAACTTTCATTCCTTTACATGGCTGAGTACTTAAACTTACTCGAACGTACCACATCTTTACCAGTTCCTCCATTGATGGACACTTGGGCTACTTCCATGGCTTGGCTACCATAAATAATGCTGCAACGCACATGGAGGTGGACATGTCTTTCCAAGTTAGTGGCTTCGTTTCCTCAGATAAATACTCAGAAGTGGAATTATTGTATCACATGGCATTTCTGTTTTTAACAACCTCCACACTATTTTCCACAGTGGCTGCACCGATCTACATTCCCACCAACAGTGTATGAGGGTTCCCTTTTCACCACATCCTCACCAACACTTACTATATCTTGTCCTTTTGACAGCAGCCATTCTGACGGGTGTGACGTGATATCTCATTGTGGTTCTTATGTGCATTTCCCTGATGATGAGCAATGTTGAGCATGTTTTCATGTATCTGTTGGCCATATGGATCTCCAAGTCTTCCTTGGAGAAATATCTATTCAGCTATTCTGCCCACTTTTAAATTGGATTGCTTTCAGCATTGAGTTTTAGGAGTCCTTTCAAATTGCTCAAGTTTTGATCTACATTAGTTGTCTACTTCTTTATATAATTTTAAATGATTTAAAAATCATTTTAAAAAGATAATTTAAAAAGATTGTTTTAAATCTGTGAACGTACCCATATAGATAGGAGTTCCACATGTAGTCTGCAGCATGGCTTCACTCCTGCCTTGCTTCTTCACAGCTAAGCCAAAGTCAGTCACCTAGAAGAAGAAACCCAGTCACCTGTTTTCCTGTCGCAGAGTTCACTCATTCTGAAGGCAGGCGTTCTACCACACTGTAATTGCACTGTATTTAATTCGAGGATTCTTGAGATGGAGGGGTTTTATTTGTATTACTAATAAGGACCTTGCTTTCACTTCCCTAACACCCCTCTTTAAGAAGAAGAAAAACCTTGTTGGTAAAGAGAAGCTTGGTGTCTCCTATTTAGAGCAGACACCCAGGATATCGATTGATTTTTCCTTCTAGTTAAACTTACCAGCTCAACATGGGAAGTTCTATTTTGAAAGAAGGCAGTTAGCTTTTTCAGATTAAAAAAAAAGTTAGTTTTAAAAACGTCTTTCAGGGGTGCCTGGGTGGCTCAGTCGGTTAAGCATCTGACTTCAGCTCAGGTCATGATCTCACGGTCCATGGTTTCGAGCCCCGTATCAGGCTCTGTGCTGACAGCTACCTCAGAGCCTGGAGCCTGCTTCAGATTCCGTATCTCCCTCCCTCTCTGACCCTTCCCTGCTCACACTGTCTCTCTATCTCAGAAATAAAAGAAACAAAAAACCCCCCCAAAAACCTCTTTCATCGTAAAATGCATTCTAGCCTTAGTAGGTTCACTCTCTTATTTTTCTGACACTCAAGCTCTGTTCCAGTTTAAAGCACCATTAGAAATGCGATCATTATCCTTGGCAGCACTCACAGAAAATGCCCCCTTTTTATAATTATTTATAAGACACTATCTCTGGTAAATACTGTCTTTTCTTTACTATAACTTCCTTTGTGTATCTAGAGTATACTAATTAAAACAATTATGACGCTATTAAAAACTACAAGAAGCAAATTAACAGGGAAAAAAAGGCAACTGTGAAGCTACAAATACACGGGAGGCCCTGCTGTTGCAACTGATCTCTTCCTGCTCTGCTCCAAATCGTGATCAGGACACAGTCGGTTATTAAATATTCAGTGTGTGCCCTTGGTCTTGTCTCCCATGTTGGAACAGCCTTGGGCTTAAAGCAAAAAAAAACAAAAAAAAACAAAAAAAAACAGGCACATTTATTGATCATACAACCAAAGATAGGCTCTTGGTCCACGGACACTCAATGCAAAGTTTCCAGTGCCTTCTGGAGTAAGAAATGTTCCTATCAGTGTGTGATGCCATTATTTTTCTAAATAGAATAACCAATTTCTCCATAAGTTTTCACAATTCTCTCACTTGGAACATTATACTATGTATCTTTCTCCACAGAAAATCTACACAAATATCAAAAATACAAAAGGTTTTACAATTGATTCAGTTCTTTAGAGAGCAATCATTCCCTCATTTACCAAACATTAAATATTAAGTGAGCACATACTATGTTTTCAGGCATTACTCCAGGTACCAACAGTGAATAAAACATACATAATTCCTGCCCACACAGAGTTTAAAATGAAAATATTCAAGAATATTTACTTACTTTGGTAAAACAACAATGCTGTTAAACTCACTTATATTACATGGGGATTTAGCTCCTGCAACAAAGCGAGTTATTCACAGACAACATTTTATTCCTAAATTAACACATTCATATATTTTGAAAGCAGCCACTATTAAAGTGCTAAGTAATAAATAATGTATCCTATCATTTATTTGACATTAAGGAACACTTAATTTGAATAAATCTTGAAGAATAAACACTTGGCACATTAATTGTGCTTAGGACATAAATATTAATACCCACGAAAATTTTCAATGAGAAATACAGACTTTAGCGTTAATTTAGTATCAAATGCAGAGCCAAGGTGTGTTTTTTCCTAAATCTGTAACACATTTACATCAAATTACCAGGCATAAATTTGAAATTAATTAGAATTCAGAGCATCTGTTTGCTTGCTATTAACTAATGATTTAGAACCATCAAAATGAATATGTACTTTAAAAAAAGATTCAATAGCACTACTTAACTTGTAAAATTATTCTTGTCAGTTACAAGCTCTTTTGTAAAAATTTTATTTTTATTTTATTGTTTTAATTTTTTAATGTTTATTTATTTTTCAGAGCGAGAGAGAGAAAGCATGAGTGGGGGAGGAGCAGAGAGAGGGAGACACAGAATTTGAAGTGGGTTCCAGGCTCTGAGCTGTCAGCACAGAGCCCAATGCGGGGCTCAAACTTATATGAGAGATCATGACCTGAGCCGAAGTCGGATGCTCAATCAAGCCACCCAGGCACCCCAATGTTTATTTTTTTAGCACAAGACACTGATTTTTTGGCTGCTCAGAAGCTTCCAAAAAGAGGATGTACTTTGTCACTTTGCTATCAAACTGTTTACAGGCAAATATTTACCACAACTTCAAATATCTTACCTTTATGTTTAAGTTCATTTCGTTGTTATCATCAATAAAGCTGCTTTTGACCATTATGTTTTCCAGTTTTAGATCTCTATGTACTATATCTACCAAGAAAATAAACAACAAATCAAATGAATAGTGAATGAGGGAAAATTAGAGGGGACATAAATAAAACAGATATATGTAATTGACAAGCTAAAGTCCACTGTTAAAAACCCTGGAAAAAATAAATCATACATACATACATACATGAAAAACTTTGGGGAGAACCAAGCATAATTCTGTCCTGTTCCATTCCCTTATATTCAAATCCCTTTTCTCCACATGTTTAATCTGAAGGGGCCATTTTCTTGCACTCCCTCCTCTTCCCCATCCCCCTACTGGCCTAGCAGACACTCTTCATGACAGGTGGCCTAGTGAGCGGGACAGAGGATCCTGCCCAAAGTTAGGCGAACACCAGGAGGAGGTAGACAATCATAGTTACAAACCCCGTAAGGTTTCCCATGTTCTTAGGTCTTCAAATAGAGGATTGCTTCTTTACTTCCATGCATATGCTGGTGACAATATAAACATTTAGCACACTGCAACTTAACTACATGTATACAAACTGCACTCATTTCAATATATTTTTCTACAACATACTACTCTTGATATGTTAAAATAAAAAGCAAACAAACGAAAACCCCAAGACACAAAATCTCCAGTTGAACATGTGAGACCTCAGGTAGGATTTTATATACATGCAAATAATCATGTACCAAACATTTCCTCTGCAAGTAACTAATTCAGTTCATATCCATAGCAATAATTTCCCCAGACTTAAAAAACTTACATGTATAATTGCTGGAAAAATATAGCTGAAGAGCCCCGGACTGGCAATTCTACCTAATCACTTATGGTTCCCTTACACAGCTCCCAGCCTGTGTTTTTGGAATTTTTATTGTTTCCATTACTTTGCTTATCTCTTCTGACATAAATAGCACACAATAAGTCTCCCTACTGCCTCCATTGGTCTTCTTTTTAATTGTTTTCTTTGCTATTCTTGCCCACTTCAGAAAAATTTTATCAAGTTTCATGAAAATTCCTGTGGAAATTTTGGTTGGCATTATACTGAATTTATAGCTCTATGTGGGAGGACTGACATTCATATAGTATTAAGCCCTTGATTTCCTGCCCTTGCAAAAATTGTTGCCCCTACCTGGAAAGCCCTCCCTTCTTTCTTATCTGAGTTTGTATTCCTCAGCTCAAATTTTTTTTCCTCTGTGAATCCTTCTATGACTTTTCAGGTCAACTGAGGCACTTAGGTTCCTATACTCCTTGCACTGTATAGAGCTTTCCACTAGAGAAATTATCACATTGAATTACAGTTTGCTTTCTGTACTCAATCTCCCACTAGTCTGAATTCCTTAAGGGTGGGGGCCTTGTCTTTTAATCTTTCTAACTCTGGGTCCGACCACACGCAGAAGTTGCTCAGGAAATATCTGTGGAATGGACCCTTGGGTTCTAATACTAGCTCTGCCACACCTCACCATGTCACTTCACCTCTCCGGAACAAACTTTTCTCTCATCTGTATAATGAGAAGGTGTTAAACTCATGTGTGAGCCCAAATAACCTTGAAGAGAAAAAGGAGGAGCCTGAGAAAAAGCAGTGGCAGTAACATCAAAGAACAGTAAAGCAATTAGAATAATTTTTAAGTGTGGCTTTTAAGGTAGCAAAGCTATTCTGTATGATACTAGAATGGTAGATACATGTCATTATACGTTTGTCAAAACCAACAGAATGTACACCACCAAGAGTGAACCCTGATGTGAACTATGGGCTTTGGGTGATGACAGTGTGTCAGTGTAGGCTCAGCAGTTGTAACATGCGTACCCCTCTGGTACCTCCTCTGCTAACAGGAGGAGGCCGTGCATGTATAAACAGGGGTAGACGGATATCCTTGTAGCTTCTGCTCAATTTTGCTACAAACCTAAAACTGCTGTAAAACAAAAAACAAAGAAACAAAAATGCCTAGAATATACAGAGTTTTTTTAGTTTTTATTTAAGTTCCAGTTAGTTAGCATACAGTATAATATTAGTTTCAGGCATACACCTATAGTGATTCAACGCTTCCATACAATATAAGCATTTTGAAATTTTACTTTTATTATTGACTTGCCTACTTTTGTTTTGATAAGATTAGCAGCTTTTCAGACTGTTGAATAGAAATATTCATCCTTGTCCATGTACAAGGATGACTGTATACCTACCTTGTTTCTAACTAAAATATATTTATTATATTTAATTAAAGTTTTAAAAAATTTAGGAAGTTTTTAAAAATAAAATCTTCTATTTTAGTGGGGATTATTTCTGTGACTATGAATCCTGAATACGATCACCTGTAAACAAAAGTGCTATCTGCATTCACGGAGTCGATGAGTCAGATGACCCTCTTCTTCTTACCCTTATTGTGAAGATATGCTATGGCTGATGCGAGACTCTGAATGATCCACCTGGTCTCGTTCTCTGAGAAATGCCCTTTCCTATCCAGAATTTCTTTGAGTTCTCCATCCTCACAAAGCTCCATCACCAGGTACATTTTCTGACATTGTATTTTTAAAGAGAGAGAGAGAGACAGAGGGCAAATTATACAGTTGAGGATTTTTAAAATGTTATATATTACACATACATAGTAGAAATATGATCACAATCTAAATCATCAATCTATTCATTAAAATCATTTATTATCTATCATGCACGAGATACCGTGCAGGATGCCAGAGGAACAATGAGGCATAAGGCAGAGTTCTTAACCCTGAAGGAATTCATGGTACAGTTAGAAATACAGTATCATATGGTACATGCTAACCAAAGAGGTACAGCCAAAATGCCATGAGGTTACAGAGGAAAGGAGCCTCTGTTTAACAAATGCTCACTGAGGAGGTGACATTAAAAGCAGGTCTAGATAACTGAATCGGGACTTATGGTTAGAGAATGGGGGTAAGAACAGGCTTAACACATGGTATTTGCAAACACTCCAAAGAGTGAAACAGCACTGGCTGTTGAAAGAACAGATATCTCAGTGTTAATAGCACTGGGAGTTTGGTGGGGCAGAGAACAGTGGAGTGGTGAGGGGTGAGGCTAGGAAAAACAGGTTAATGCCAGGTTGTAAAGATTCTTGGATGTCACACAGAGGAGTTTGCATTTTTTCCCCCCATAAGGAGTCACTGATGTCTTTTAAGCTGGTATCTGGAGTGGGGGGAAAAGTGTGTGATATTGTCAGTTTTGCACTTCTAAATGAACATTCTAACAGTAATGTAGAGCAGGGCTCAGCAAACTTTTTCTCTAAAGGCCTGCTCCAGATAGTAAATTTTTTTTTCAGATAGTATTTTTGTCTTTGTAGGTTGTACAATCTCTTTTACACCTACTCAGCACTGCTGTTATAGCATAACAACAGCCATGAACAACACAACAGAACTTTACCTATGGACTCTGAAATTTTAGTTTCATATACTTTTCATAAGCCATCAAATATTTACTTTTTAATTTTTTTCAGCCATTTAAAAATGTAAAGAACTTAGCTTATGGGCCATAAAAAAAAAAAAGGCAGCACGTCAGATTGGGCTTGCACGCTATAGTATGCTGACCTTTGTTTATGGGGGGTAGATGTCAGGCATCAAATGGACATAAGTAGGGGAAGAAGAAAAGTACATGAAAATTACCTAGGAGGAAGAAAGAGTGGGACTTAATAACTAACTGGGTGTAGGAAAAAGCCAGGGGTGAAGTGCCTCTTCCATATTTGCTGTTTCTGTGGATGCATATTAAGACCACTCCAGGTTTTCTAGAAGTCAAGCCATTTCTTGAGTCAAAAACATTCACAGTCAACTGTAATGCAAGCCTCTTTCATACCTATTGCTATTCAGTAGTAGACAACCCTACACATCTCTGTACCATCTTCTGCTGCTAAATTTTTATAGATTTTTTTAAGATTTTGGGGTCTGATTCTATTCTGCAGCCAGTACTAATGCAACTTCTGTGTTCAATCAGCAAGCACGAAAACAATAATAGAAGATTAACACCCTTTCTTCCAATAGTCAAAATTCGGATTCACTAAACCTCAGGATGCTTTGGAATTTCAAAAGTAACTTAAGAATTGTGCAAAGTCTAACACATAAATAAGCTTCTGAACTATATATCATTTTCTATTAATAGCACTGTAGGGATCATAAATGGTAAGTGAACTATTTGGAAACAAAAGTTATTTTAACAGTGCTTACAACATAAATTGATGTCAAGTTTAAATATGTAAGTTGATAAAAGTTATATCAATAAAAATTTTTATAAGTCTTTTTATAATTATTAGAAATAATTATGTAGATCTGGAGAACATTTGGATTCACAAATAAAGCCACAACATAGTCTGACTTAATGACAGTACTAATACCATGGTCTACCCAATCAGGTAACAATTTCCATTCATCTTTAAGATGGCTTCAGTAGAAGGTCTAGGTATTTGAGTTGATGAGGGGAGGAGGCAGATCTGAACTGTGTGAATCAGGGGCCAGCAGTACATTAAAAAAACACAAAACACAAAACAAAAACAAAAACAAAAAATCCCCACAACAAACCAATCACAGATGATAATTTCCTCTGCCTTCAAACTATTCTAGATTTGGACTCCCACTTGTGCCCAAGATGAAGTGACAGAGAATAGACTGACCCTCTCTCCTGAAACAACTTAAGAAATGGATAAAATATATAAAACAACAATTTTCAGACATTAGACATCAGACAGGATAGAGTGATGATTCCTGAAAGAAGGGAAACACATGAGACAAGCCCCATGATCATCCTAGCTTACTGTCCAGAGAGAATTTGTAGGCCATGAGGCAGTAAGAAGGAATACAGAGAGAGCCCAACAGTCTCCATAAATTGAGAAAATTGAGCAGGGAGTCCAGGAAGGAAGTTGTCTTTAGGCCAAGACAACTAAAGTTCACAGAGTTTTGGCAGAGTACCAAAAGAGGAGAAAGCTCCAGAGATTTGCAGAGGCTCCCCCTCAAGTCTTCAGCAGAGTACTGCTCAGTTTATGTGTATGAGGGAAATACCCAAAGCTGGGTAAAGAACCATGCAAGAGGAGCAGAGGGAATAATCACTGGAGCTTCCAGATGGACAGAAAGAGCCTGTATTCCTATCAGCAGAGCGGGAAATCTCATAATTCATAGGAGATCAGGTAGAGTACTCTCAAAGGGTCTTGCTTCTTTCATAAGAAAAAAATAGCCCTAGAACAAAGGCTGCTCTGGTACCATGTAACAAAGCTTAAAGCAAGCTTCAGAAGTATCAGACAGTTTACCTCAAGAAATGATGTCCCTCAAGAAAGCTCAAGAGTAGTTATAAGAATATAATAATATCTAGCATCCTATCAAAAACTAACAGGCATATAAAGAAGCAGGAAGGGGTGCCTGGGTGGCTCAGTCGGTTAAGCGTCCAATTTCAGCTCAGGTCATGATCTCATGGTTCATGGGTTTGAGCCTCGCATCAGGCTCTGTGCTGACAGCTAGCTCAGAACCTGGAGCCTGTTTCAGATTCTGTGTCTCCCTCTCTCCCTGACCCTCCCCTGTTCATGCTGTCTCTCCCTCAGAAATAAAGAAAACATTAAAAAAGGGGTGCCTGGGTGGCTCAGTTGGTTAAGCGTTCAGCTTCGGCTCAGGTCATGATCTCACGGTTCGTGGGTTTCAGACCCGCGTTGGGCTCTGTGCTGACAGCCAGCTCAGAGCCTGGAGCCTGTTTCAGAGTCTGTAACTCCCTCTCTCTCTGACCCTCCCCCACTCACGCTGTCTCTCTCTCAGAAATAAATAAAACATTTTAAAAAATGAAAAAAAAACATTAAAAAAGTTTTTTAAAGAAGCAGGAAAATATAAACCATAATGGGGGAAAAAATCAGTCAATTAAAATTGACCTAGAAATGACATATTATAAAATTAGTAGAAAATAACACTAAAAGTTATTATAACTAAATTTAAAAAGGAGGAGTAAATATTGAGCATGTTAAATAAAAACATGTAAGATACAGAAAAGAATCAAATCAAATTTCCATTAGAAAAGATAAATAGCATATATGATGTTACAGAAAAAGAGATTACTGAATCTGAAGACATCACAATGAAAAGGATGCTAAACAAAGAAAAAAGTAAGCTGTGGACAATATCAACCAATCTAACATTCTAACATGGGTACTTGGAATACAAGGCAGAATAAATATTTGAACAAAAAATGACCAAAGATTTCCTTCAATTTAATAAAAACCATAAACTCACAGATCCAAGAGGCTGCATAAACCTAAAGCACAAGAAAACTGAAAGCAAGGTACATTATCAAATCTCTTAAAACTGATGACAAAGAGCAAAACTATTCTAAGAAGATTTGGGGATAAAAAATAACTCTAATACCGAAAAGAAGAGACTTTTGGCATCATTGTCATGTACTGCTCCCATAAAGGATAACTGTGGCCATTTGTAGTTATTAAGCACTCCTAATGAATCAAGCATAATACATAACCCAAACAGACTATTTCTGCCTCAGAAACTGACAAAGGAAACAAATAGCAATAGCTAACAGTTAAAGAGACAGATGCTTTATATCCATTTTCCAATTTAATGCTTCAACAACTATAAGGAATAAACCCACCAACCCAATCAAAGGATACAGGGACCTGAAGCACAGTAAAGTGAGGCTTTAATCAAGGTTCTTGCAAGAGTCAGTGTCTGACAGACAGGCATACTTGGGGCATTCACAGCATATAATTTACTTCCGAGTGTGCAGGTCCCTCCCCTGGTTCCTCATTGGCTGAGTACTACAGAGGTTACAGTCTTACCTGGACATTGCCTAGGCCCATGTAAGGCAAAAAGTAATCTGATTGGAACAAAAGTACATTCCCTGAGGTGATGCAGAGACTTTCAGTAGCTCCCCCCTTTGTTCTTTAATGTGTGATCAGTGCAAAGCCCGCCAAAATAAGCCCCACAATTTTGGAGAGGTGAAGAAGAACCAGGATATGAAGTGTCTAAGGGTTTGGGAATCCATTGTGTGCGTGGGGGCGGGGTGAGGGGTGAGGTTTGTACATCTTTCCAGTAGGCTGTAAACCTACTGTTAAGTAGACAGCAGAGCTTTTATTTGGTATTTTTGAGAGTGAATCATCTCCCTTAAGAAGTATGGTGAGAAACATAAGCAATCTTATTGATAAGGATGTGCTAAATGCACTTTACTACTCCACTTACAGCAATGGATAAATCAACTAGACAGAAAAATCACTAAAGAAACAATGGACCTGAACGACACATTGGACCAGATGGACTTGACAGATATATTTAGAACACTACATCCTGAAGCTATGGAATTCACTTTCTTCTTGAGTGCTCATGGTACATTCTCCATGATGGATCACATACTGGGTCACAAGGCAGCTCTCAATAAATATAAAAGAATTGTCATCATACCATGCACACTTTCAGATCACATTGCTATGAAACTTGAAATCGACCACAGGAAAAAGTCTGGAAAACCTCGAAAAGCATGAAGGTTAAAAAACACCCTGCTAAAGAACAAATGGGTCAATCAGGCAATTAGACAAGAAATTTAAAAATATATGGAAACAAATTAAAATGAAAATACAACAATCGAACTCTACGGGATGCAGCAAAGGCAGTCCTAAGAGGAAAATACATTGTAATCCAGGCCTATCTCAAGAAACTAGAAAAAGCGCGAATATAAAATCTAACAGCACACCTAAAGGAACTAGAAGCAGAGCAGCAAGAACATCCCAAATCCAGCAGAAAAAGAGAAATAATAAAGATCAGGGCAGAATACAGAATCCCAAAAAACACCCGAACATATCAATGAAACCAAGAGCTGGTTTTTTGAAAATGTAAACAAAATTGATAAACCTCTAGCCAGGCTTCTAAAAAAGAAAAAAGAGGCATCCAAATAGACAAAATCACGAATGAAAATGGGTTTATTGCAACCAATCCCTATGAAATACAAGCAATTATTAGGAAATTCTATGAAAAACTATATGCCAACAAATTGGACAACCGAGAAGCAATGGATAAATTTCTAAACACACGTACACTACCAAAACTCAAGGAAGAAACAGAAAATCTGAACAGAAGAAATTGAATCAGTTATCAAAAATCTCCCAACAAATAAGAGCCCTGGATCAGACGGCTCCCCTGGAGAATACTACCAGACATTTAAAACAGAGTTAATACCCATTCTTCTCAAGCTATTCCAAAAAATAGAAATGGAAGGAAAACTTCCGGACTCATTCTATGAAGCCAGCATCACTTTGATTTCCAAAGCAGAGACCCAGCAAAAAAAGAGAACTACAGGCCAAGATCCCTGATGAATATGGATGCAAAAATCCTCAACAAGATACTAGCAAATTGAATTCAACAGCATGTTAAAAGAATATTTCACCATGATCAAGTGGGATTCATTCCTGGGTTACAAGGCTGGTTCAATATTTGCAAATCAACCATGGGATACATCACATTAACAAAAGGAAATATAAAAACCATATGATCCTGTCAATAGATGCAGAAAAAGCATTTGACAAAATACAGCATCCCTTCTTAATAAAGACCCTCGAGAAAGTCGGGATAGGAGGAACTTACTTAAATATCATAAAAGCCATCTATGAGAAGCCCTCAGCGAACATCATCCTCAATGGGGAAAAACTGAGAGCGTTCCCCCTGAGATCAGGAATACGACAGGGATGTCCACTCTCACCACAGTTGTTTAACAGCTGAAAGTCCTAGCATCAGCAATCAGACAACAAAAGGAAATAAAAGGCATCAAGATTGGCAAAGATGAAGTCAAATTTTCACTTTTCGCAGAGGGCATGATACTTTACATGGAAAACCCGACAGACCCCACCAAAAGTCTGCTAGAACTGATCCATGAATTCAGCAAAGTCACAAGGTACAAAATCAATGTACAAAATTTGGTTGCATTTTTATATGCCAATAATGAAGCAACAGAAAGACAAATCAAGAAACTGATCTCATTCACAACTGCACACAGAAAAAGCATAAAATACCTAGGAATAAACCTAACCAAACATGTAAAATATCTGTATGATGAAAACTATAGAAAACTTATGAAGAAAATTGAAGAAGACACAAATGAAAAACATTCCATGCTCATGGATCAGAAGAATAAATATTGTTAAAATGTCATTACTATCCAAAGCAATCCACACCTTCAATGCAATCCCAATCAAAATTGCACCAGTATTCTTCTCACAGCTAGAACAAACTATACTAAAATTTGCATGGAACCACAAATGACTAGCCAAAGTAATATTGAAGAAGAAAACCAAAATGAGAGGTATCACCATCCCAGACTTTAGTCTCTACTACAAAGCTGTCATCATCAAGACAGTATGGTATTGGCACAAAAACAGACACATAGACCAATGGAACAGAATAGAGAACCCAGAATTGGGCCCACAAATGTATGGCCAATTAACCTTTGACAAAGCAGGAAAGGATATCAATGGAAAAAGGCAGCCTCTTTAACAGATGATGCTGGGAGAACTGGACAGCAACATGCAGAAGAATGAAACTAGACCACTTTCTTACACAATACACAAAAATAAACTCAATATGGATGAAGGACCTGAATGTGAGACAGGAAACCATCAAAACCCTAGAGGAGAAAGCAGGAAACAACCTTCTTGACCTCAGCTGTAGCAATTTCTTAATGGACACATCTACAAAGGCAAGGGAATCAAAAGCAAAAATGAACTACTGGACCTCATCAAGATAAAAAGTCTTCTGCACAACAAAGGAAACAATCAACAAAACGAATAGGCAACTGAGGGAATGGGAAAAGATAGTTGCAAATAACATATCAGATAAAGGGCTAGTATCCAAAATCCATAAGGAACTCACCAAACTCCGCACCCGAAAAACAAACAATCCAGTGAAGAAATGGGCAGAGGATATGAACAGACACTTCTCCACAGAGGACATCCAGATGGCCAACAGACACATGAAACAATGCTCAGCATCCCTCCTCATCAGGAAAATACAAATCAAAACCACATTGAGATACCACCTCACACCAGTCAGAGTGGCTAAAATGAACAAATCAGGAGACTATTGATGCTGGCAAGGATGTGGAGAAATGGGCACCCTCTTACACTGTTGGTGGGAATGTAAACTGGTACAGCCCCTCTGGAAAACAGTGTGGAGTTTCCTCAAAAATTTAACAATAGAACTCTCATATGACGCAGCAATAGCAGTGCTAGGAATTTACCTGAGGGATACAGGAGTGCTGATGCATAGGGGCACATGTACCCCAATGTTCATAGCAGCACTCTCAACAATAGTCAAAACATGGAAAGAGCTTAAGTGTCCATCAACTGATGAATGGATCAAGAAGATGTGGTTTATATACACAGCGGAGTCCTACATGGCAATGAAAAAGAATGAAATCTAGCCATTTGTAGCAATATGAATGGAACTCAGGGGTATAATGCTAAGTGAAAAAAAGTCAGGCAGAGAAAGGCAGATACCATATGTTTTCACTCATATATAGATCAGGAGAAACTTAACAGAGGATCATAGGGGAGGAGAAGGGGAAAAAATAGTTAAGGAGAGGGAGGGAGGCAAACTATAAAAGACTTAAATACTGAGAACAAACTGAAGGCTGATGGGGGTGAGAGAAAGGGGCAAATGGCTGATGGGCATGGAGGAGGGCACTTGTTGGGATGAGCACTGGGTGTTATATGGAAACCAACTTAACAATAAACTATATTAAAAAAATAAAACAAAAAAGACGTACGGTGAGAACACACAACCAAATGAGGTCGATACTATTATTAAACTCATTTTACAAATGAGAAAACTAAAGTATAGAGAGGTTGGGTAACATCATGATCTCATGGCTAATAAGGGGTGGAGCCAGGATTTGAATGCACAGGCAATCTGTCCCCAGACTCCACATGCCTAACCACTACATTATATACCTCCAAGCAGAGAAACACCCAAACCTGCAGGCACTAAACAATCTGGAGGCAGGATGGCAAATAACTCAGGCTTCAGAACAACCGTAAACAAAAATCACAGGCATTTAACAAAAAGAATGATAACGTCTAGGGAAGAAGGAAGATTAAACACATTGGTAAAACACAGATGGTAAAATATCTTCTACACAGTGCCAAATATACCCATGCCAACTTTCTTATAAAGCTAACCTTGCAAAATTACAACGATATTCCAAGAGATTCTAATGGAGAAACCAAAGCCCAAAACAAAAGGAAAACTACCTCTAAGGAGGCTCTTATTACTATCTGTTTGCATATGAAGTTGCTTCAATTACAAACATTTGTTTTCAACAAGCCACCCCAGAAATATTACTGAAGACATCAATCTAATCAACAGACACCTAATTATATAATCAATAATAAAAGTCCTCCAGAATGCCCTCATCAATCTCCAGTGACAGACACATGCCAGGACAAGAACACCTGTGCTCTACAGGGGTTACCGCAGAAGGGAGTGATGTTCATCTGTATTAATAACAACTTTCAATGTGCAGCACCTGATCAAGCCTTACCTTAGGCGTCTCAAACACTTGTTCCAGATGTATGATGTGTTCGTGTTTCACACTTTTCAGGATGTTCACCTCCCGTTCCAGTAGCTTCACAGCAGAGCTTCCGGCCTTTCATAATGAGGACGCGTAGATTTCACATATGAATGTCACTACTACAAACCTCAATATCATAGTTATAGTTGTTTTTATATTTTTTCCTACACTTTCTGAAGAAGTTCCCTTTCCAAAGGATAATATGCAACTTATTTCCATGATAAGTTGTCCAATTTTAAGTTATATATAATTTGGTCTCAAGCCACATCTGTTCTTGGACTGTTTCTATAAACTAACTACAACATGGTCTCTGTCCCCTGAGAGAATTATTCTAGTATTGAAAATGCCTTTGGTATTTCCTTCAAAATCATGCTAATCCTTTGATGTTAGCATAATAAAACCAAAATCTACTTTCCAGTGACATCATTTGGAGATGCTAAAAACAAAATGTTTTTCTTTTGTTGTTTTGCTTTGAATATACATATATGTATGTGTGCATGTGTTTATATATATATTTTTTATATAAAATAATAGGCAGTGAGACTCTACACCTAGCCCTACAATATATCACTTCCTGATACCCCCAGCTTCTGAGAGAGAGAGAGAGAGAGAAAGAGAGAGAGAGAGAGATATCTTATCATTAGACCAACCTAACTCCAGCTTTATCTCCTTACATGTAACCTTTAATCATACCCGATGGCAAAAGATAAAGGCAGGCACATCCCAGGGAACACAAAATCAGGGCACAACTGATTTCCTACAAAGTCATCTAAGACATTCTAGAAGAGCTTCTTCTACCCTCACCACCACTACCACCAATCATCACCCCTATTGATATCTAAATTACCAGCATTGCCCTCATCCACATAAAAATATCCCTGAAAGGGACAACAAAGCCCACCCCCAAAGCCACCCAAGGTTGGAAAATACATAATAGTTCTTAAAGGACTGCAAAAAGATGGATCACATGGCAAACTTTACCTGGTTAAAATTTTACCTAGAGTCATCCCTGCATCCAATTACCTTTACTCTCAACCATTACCATCTCAGAGTGAGGAGGAAACTGCCTACCCACTATGCCCTAGGGTAAAAGTCACAATTTAAGGTTATCCTAGAGGGTCAAGAGAAATAGTAACTGTGAGGAGTGAATTCTTATCTAGACTACACATGGAAAGTTACCACAATTTCTCCTAATATCAGTCCCAATTCCATTCCTACCTTCCTCCCCAAATGGCCTAACCTGCATATAATACAGCAAAATATATTGTCTAATTCATATATTGACTATATAAATTTATTTTACTATATTAGTGTCTATAAATGCTCATCATCAGTATGTGTATGCGAGATTATGAAATCCTAAAATTGCAAGCAGGTACCCTACTATGTAACCCTAAAATCTAACCCCTGACCCTCTCTGACACTAAAGAGGCAAAGGAAACAACGTCCCCTGTAGCATGATGGTTCTATAATTCTAAAGATTTCTAGAAAGTCTCTAGATATCCTTTTATTAGGATTTATGTGTGTTATTTTCTTAGAAAGAAATGGTATGTAATTTGCTATAGTCTGTTTTAAAGAATACATAAAACTTACTATTTCACTTTGTAAATGTAATATTAATCATCACAAACCCAAGAAAAAAAACCACCATCTTTTGTCTTTTGTTTTATCCCAGGCACACAGGTTTTTGATGATCAGAGATAAAGCCTGAGAAGCCAGACTCTCTTAATGACAAGCCCAGTCACTGTCCACTCCAGGAGAAATCCGGTGAGGAATACAGTGGCTACAAGTAAACAGTATAGTTGACAGTTGCTGAAAAAGTGTTTCAAACTGGAAGAACAGGTGGAATGGATAATGAGACTTAGCTAACAAAGAGGAAATAGGTAATCAAAGGAGAGAGGAAAGGAGAAAAGTTGTTCTGAACCACACTGGCAGAGAGCGCTGAGACTTAAGTCCAGCTAAGCCATCTCTAGCCCATAGTCCTACAGCTAGATAGACAAAATCAGCCCTTCTTTTCAATCACTCTGAAAAATTTTACCCTTATTTGGTTATATTGGTTACATGAGTTAATTCTTCATTTGATTTTCCCAGATACATGAGTTCAAGAATAGGTTCCTTCCCAGAAGGCTAGGGAAATGGCCATATTTCTCCAGGCCCTGCCCTCAGAGTCAGCTTTTAGTGTGAAAACTATACTGCCAACCCTGGCCAGCCCTGGCACTGTGCCCTCAGTGTGATGCTGCAAATAAGTCTTACCTTGTCTTTGTTCACTTTTTTAATTGCCCACTTAGTTCCTGTTTCCTTGTCCGTAGCTTCAATGACCATTCCAAAGCTCCCTTTTCCCAATATTCTTCCAAAGGTATAGATTTCCTGGATAAAAAATAAGAGCTCCTTTGTTTCTTTCTGCCATTCATCAGGTATTAAAAATGAACACATAATACTGACAGGTATCCAACCAAGGGGAGAGAGTTTCTGCTCCAGAGTAAAATCAAATAGAAGATGCCACCTATTTGATGTTAATTAACCAAAAAGAAGTTTTGGCAAATTTCATTAAATATCTTTTGGTGGAAAACCTTGAACTCCCACTGGAGAAATACAGAAAATGTCAAAAATATAAAAATGAGTCTCTTACAAACTACAATGTTAATAAAATGTCTTCATAAGAAAAAGGAGAAATGAAATATTAATGCCTACATATAAGTGTGTTTGTGTGTATAAAAATACACTCATCAAAGAAATTAACCCCAAATTGTGAGAGCTATATTATAAAATCAACACCTATTAACTAACTGCTTTTCTGTTTACAAAGTAACACTCTTTCTTTACTTCAATATTTCTATTAAAAGTCACTTTAGTGATTTTATTCCTTTTGTTTTAGAAAAAGCAATATCTGACAGAAATTTTAATGTAGGTCAGCACTGAGAAGAAAGTAAAAACAATCTATAGTAACTCTATCCAGACCAAGAGTCCTTCCAGTTATTATCTAACTTCTGATGATAACATCACTTGCCATGATGAGCACAGCATAATGGGTAGAACTGTTGAATCACTAAGTTGTACACTTTTTTTTTTTTTTAATTTCTAGGAGAGAGAGAGAGAGAGAGCGTGAGCAGGGGAGGGTCAGAGAGAGACAGAGCCACAGACTGAAACAGGCTCCAGGCTCCGAGCTGGCAGTCAGCACAGAGCCCGACGCGGGGCTCGAACCCACAAACCGCGAGATCATGACCTAAGCGAAAGTCGGACGCTTAACCGACTAAGCCACCCAGGCGCCCCCTAAGTTGTACACTTGAAAGTGAAACCAACATAACATTGTATGTCAACTACACTTCAACTTTTTTAAAAAAAAGCATAGTGCCTAGAACACAGTAAGCACTCAATAAAAGTTAAGGTTATTAAAAAAAAAAAAAAAGAACACACTGTTTTTGCCAACACCAGCATTCTAGTTCTCATTGTAAAATTTAAAAAAACCCATGTAACTCATTTACACTTTCTTTTCTTTTGAATTTGGTTGAGGAAGTCAGTCTCCTTGATCCAAATCAATATCAGGGTAGTAATAAGACTTTCTGGTAGAATATGACAAAACATCTAAAGTAATGCCACTTAGGTGAAGCCTCTGCTGGGTCAGCAGACAAAGCCTTTCCTGGAGATGCTACTCTGTTTCTCTGCAACCACTTTCACCTTTGCCATGCAAGAGATATATTAGCTACTAGTCTTCATATCTTCTACTGCTTACATTCTTGTCTTACTTTCATAAGAAAAGATTCAGTGTCCAACTACTTAACTTATCTCCTTCATGAAGGGGTCCCTTGACTTTGCACCATGGTAATTGTTCCATTATTTTGACTTCCCTCAGCATGTGTGCATTGGTACTCAAGCATTATTATTATTCTCTTTCTTACAAATACTTCGGTTCATGTTTTTCTTCCAAGATGGTCTAGAAACTTAAGCTGTTTCTTCTGTATCCTTAGAAAGCCTACCCTGAAACTTTGTAGGTAAAATATTCATACTTAGCACATGGGAGGGAGGGAGAGATAGGAAGGAAGGGAGGGAAAGTAAAGATGGAGGGAGGGAGGAAGGAAAGAAGGAAGGAGGAAGAGTGTTCGGCTTCAACATGTTAGATTTTCCTTAGATAGTTCCTTGTGTACATATTTTGTACAAAAATGGACAAAACACAATTGCTCTTTTCTCAGAATTTGTAATCTACTCAAGAGATGAGATTATCACTTAAGTTATAAGTCTTAAGTTAAAAAAATACAAAACAACACTGGGGCCAGAGACCAGAGCTAGAATACTGGGAGAACTAGGGAAAACATCACAAAAGAGAAGGCTTCTGAGATCAGCATGTGAGGGAACAAAAGCAAATAATTGAGAATCTTTTTTCTATAATCCAAGCAAACAAAGCAAAGCAAGCATTCCAAAGGCACAGTAGTGCAAATATGGAATGAATGAATGAGTAAATGAATGAATCAATCAATAAATTCAGTCAGTAAACCAGCCAGCCAGGAACCTTCTGCATATATACACCTGTAAGAGAAATGACAGACCAACTATGTGGACTTGAACCCTGGAGTAAGAACTTTGGATTTATGGTCTTGAATGTTTTGAATGGCAACTCCTAGACTTACACAGGGTACCTCCTGCCCAGGTGATGGTTCCTGAGCCTGGACTTCCAGTGATTTATAATTACTTTGTCTCCTCATTCTTTCCACAACCACTTAATGGTGAGAATCAAAATCAGAAAAACTAAGTTGACTAAAATAAGACAAAACATTTTATTTTTATTACATTTGTATGCAACTCCCAACTATGTATTATGAAAATGAGTAAAATCTCAATTTAAATGGTCATTTATGCCTTTTGTTTTCCACGGAACAAAATGATCTAAACTCTATAACCATTTCCCCAATTTTTCTTGTCCTTTAAAAACTAAACTCTCATTTGCTCCTTTAACATACAGAACCACATCTTGGACACAGTATTTTAACACTGTTTAAACAGGGTATTTTAAATGAGGAATGGATATAGAAATAGCCCTATTACCCAACTAGTTTTATAAAATAATCTTTTTCTTCAACTAAGTGTTTTGACATCATTATATAATGGTGAAAATAAGGAGAAAATTACTTCTTGCTTATAATAATTTTAAGAGGATGCTATATAAATGGTAATATAGATCTATTTTTATTGACATAGAATGATACAGTGTAGACTGTGAAAGCATATGATCCCATTATGAAAATGTGGGCATGTGGGGGTGCTGACATTGGTGTCTGGAAAGATGGTCATCTAAACATTAAGAGTAGCTATCACTGGATAGTAGAATTTTGGATAACTGTAATTCCTTTTTTTACTCTTCCAAAATGTTGAAAAACTTTAAAATGATCCTGTCCATTTAATGGGATGAGAAAAACTTCAGTTATGCTAGTTAAGGTTGTTTCCTTAAAAAATATGTATATATTTGAAATATTTCATATTTAAAATGGGGAAAAAACTGAAAAAAAGAATATGACATACATGCAAAGAAAAAATAAAAGTAATACACTTTAAAATTGGTTATATCTGGCTCATGACTTTTATTTTCTTCACTTTTCTATCTATATTTTCCTAATATTTTACCACGAGCATATTTTGCTTTTAAAAAAGCTCTTATCATTAAATTTAAAATTCAGTAGTTGTGGAGTTTTTAAAAGTACAGGTTATTTATCTATTTTTTTTAAGTTTATTTATCCACTTTGAGAGATAGACAGAGAGAGTGAGCAGGGGAGAGACATAGAGGGAGAGAATTCCAAACAGGTTCTGTGCCATCATTGCAGAGCCGGACACAGGGCTTGGACCCATGAACCACGAGACCATGACCTGAGCCAAAAGCAAGAGTTGGTCACTTAACCTATGGAGACACCTAGGCATCCCCCTCAAAAATACAGGCCTTTTATTTAAAGTGGGACAATTAAATTTTTCAAGTTAGAATTCTCAGGAAGTTTTTCTGAAAACTTCAAGTAAATTGCAAAATATCTCTTAAAACAACTTTTGAAAGTTATTTAATGTTGGGGAGCCTGAGTGGCTAAATCAGTTAAGAGTTCAACTTTGGCTCAGGTCATGATCTTGCAGTCCCGGAGTTTCAGTCCCACCTTGGTCTCTGTGCTGACATCTCAGAGCCTGGAGCCTGCTTCAGATTCTGTGTCCCCCTCTCTGTTCCTCCCTCACTCACACTCTGTCTCTCTCTCTCAAAAATTAATAAATCTTTCTTTAAAAAAAGTTATTTAATGTTAATTCAATTTTCTTCTTCTAGTTGTTCTTATTGTGGTTCTTTTGATGTGATGTTAAGAACACATTTTAATTTCTAAAATTGTAATAATATTCAAACCATAATAATTAGAATCCTTAGAAGAGTAATATTGGTATCCATTCAATCACAGGCTAGAAAAAATGGAGGGGCCATGAGGGAAATTCTGGCCTCACCACCACTCATCAAGGAAATGAATAGCCAAACCATTTAAAGTCATCTGGTCTTTCTCTGTGTCTTCAAGAGGTCTACACAAAGACTCCAAGATTGTTCTCAGCAACAGGCAAAACCTAAAGACCAAAATGTTCTCATTTTACTAATAAAAATGTCCTCTGCGGGGGCGCCTGGGTGGCTTAGTCAGTTAAGCATCCGACTTTCGCTTAGGTCGTGATCTCGCGGTTCGTGGGTTCGGGCCCCGTGTCGGGCTCTGTGCTGACTGACAGCTCAGAGCCTGGAGCCTGTTTCAGTCTGTGACTCCCTCTCTCTCTGACCCTCCCCTGCTCATGCTGTCTCTCTCTCTCTCCCTCTCTCTCCTAGAAATAAATAAAAACATTAAAAAAAAATTTTAAAAACTGTCCTCTGCTTTAATTAAAGTCTATCTGGTCCATTAATAAGCAGAAAAAATAATTAGTCTGCATTTTCTTTGGTAAAGACTTTGGCATACTTGAATCTGCTAAATTGTCTCTTTTCTTTCCTTCCTTTCCTTAGAGAATAATTTTTAAGCCATTTTTGCCATGAACTATTGACTTAGAAGTTCCTAGAAGTTTCAGTTTGCTTTCTATATACCTGAATAGCAGCTCCATTGTCTATCCTTATGTGAGGAACTTTTCCCTCTGTAATGTTTCCCCGACTCCATTGTTGTTGAGATGGTTTTCTCTCCACATTGATGCTTTTTGAGGGCTTACACCAAAAGGAATAAAAAAATTAAGATATAATATACTTGTAGTAAAAATACAATACACTTGTGTCTTATCTTAACAAAATATAAACCCTAATTTAAATAATCTTTAATGTGTGCTGATATTTATTGTGTACAAGACAGCTTATTGTCTTTCTTCAAATTCTAAGTCCCATATGATTCATTGGCTTATTATGTTAAAAGAGACCATAAGAAGCCAGCATTCAATCTAATCACCTGAATCTAGGCAAGTCTACATGATAACCTGCATCACAAATCCATCAGAACTTCCCTGATGATTCTTCAAAATCACAAGAGAAAGCAACTTCAGTGCTTTCTCAATTACCCTTGTTTTAAAATTTAACAGTCACCTCGATACCATGGAATACTACATGGTAATGAGAAACAATGAAATCTGGCCATGTGTAGCAACATGGATGGACCTTGAGGGTGTTATGCTGAGAGAAATAAGTCAGGCAGAGAAGGACAAATATCATATGTTTGCAAATATAAGAGGATTAGGAGGAACTTAACAGAGGAACAAGGGGGAGAAGAAGGGGGGAAATGGTGGGGTAAGGGGAGAGAGGCAAACCATGAGAGACTCTTGAATGCTGACAAAAACTGAGGACTGATGGATGTGGGGGGGAGGGGGAGGGGCATGGAGGAGGGCACTTGTGGGGATGAGCACTGGGTGTTATGTGGAAACTAATTTGACAATAAACTATTTGTAAAATAAAATAAAATAAAATATAACAGTTACCTCGAATAGGTTATATATAAAAAATTATTGACCAAACAGTCACAAAATATCCTTTGAATGAAAATAATATAGTAATGAAATCAGAGAAGTCTATATGGCAATAACTATACTGTAATACAAATAAAAAATAATAGTTTGGGGTAAAAATTTGAAAAAGAGCTGGACATCTTTGAGGACTGAGAATCTTTTTAAAAACTTAACTGCTCTCAGTCTCCAATGTTGTGCTCTATCAACTACAATCTTCCACACTGCCTCTTCTCCATAAAAGTAAAATACCCCCAAACCAATCCAACCAGGTTGTCATAGACTGTAACAACATATATCGGTTTTGGAAAGTATATTTGATATTCCATCTAGATAAATAGGAATTGTCTTAAATAATAACCACACTATATTTCACTACAACAATGCCACCAAATTCAGATTTAATCCAACTTGAAAACCAATTCATTTCTGTATAAACCATTAAAAACTAAAGAAGCTGGAATAACATTCCAGATTATTCATGATCATGGAAAATAACTAATTGGCAGTGGATGGAATTATCATAAAAGAAATTACTAACCAATTTTGCTCACCTCTCACATAATCAAGAAATGTTCCTTTAATAGTTAAGAAGGCAATGATTTAGCTGACAAGGGCTCATGGGATATAGATGAAGCTAAGCTTGGGATTAGGAAATGGAATATCGTATTGGGATATAGAATCTTCAATATTTACCATATCTTTCACAGAGGCATTATCTGTGCTGGATTGGTTTTCTTTGTTTTTCTCTGATGAAACTACACATTCTGAGCTGACAATGCTTGATGCTTGGGACATTTCCACCACAGAGATTGGAGAAGGCCTTCTTTTACAGGCACATACATAAAATTCATCTTGCTTAGAAGTAGATGAACAGTTGGAGCATTTTGCACATTGTTTACCAAAGCCACTATTGGCCATTTGGTTAACTCTGCAACAAAAGCAACTTGAAAGAAAGAAGTTTCTTCTCCTTGAGGAAAAGAACCAGACCAAAAGATATAAGGTGAGCTGATGGTGAAAACTGTAACTTTCAGTTGGTGAGGTCTTTACAGTAATGATGCACTACACTTATATTCACACATGAGAGCTGCAGAAAGAAAATAAATAATAATTTAGAAGGTTCTTCCTCATTCTATCACCCTCCTATAAATCAGAGAAAAACTTTCGCTAGCACCAAAAGCATCCTGCCTATACATGAAGAGTTAATATTTACAACACAATTAGGATGTATTTCTAAAAACCAATGGGTTTTCATCTTTGAAAATTTAATAACCATAGGGGTGCCTGGGTGGTTCAGTTGGTTAAGCATCCAACTTCAGCTCACATCATGATCTCATGGTTCGTGGGTTCAAGCCCTGCGTCAGGCTCTGTGCTGACAGCTAGCTCAAAGCCTGGAGCCCGTTTTGGATTCTGTGTCTCCCTCTCTCTCTAACCCTCCTCTGTTAACACTGTCTCCCTCTCTCAGAAATAAATAGAAAACATTAAAATTTTTTTAATTTTAAAAGATTTTTAAAAAATTAATAACCATAAAATTGTTGAAAAGCATGGTCTAGGGAAATCAGTTTGGTGAGTTGACATCAATTTTTTTTAATTCTAAGAGGATAATATGAGTATTTTGCATACATCCTTGGTAACTTCTATAAAACTTCTAATTATATAGATACATATGTAGAGAATATTTGTGTCTGTGTATGTACTGAGTCACAGTAAAAGACATATTTTTTACTGAAGTATAACTGACGTACAAGAGTATATTAGTTTAAGGTATACAACATAATGATTCGACATTTATATACATTATAAAATTATCACCATGATAAGTCTAGTTACCATCTGTGAGCATAAAAAGTTATTATAATATTAACTACCTTTCCTTTGCTGTACTTTTTACATCCCTGTGACTTATAACTGGAAAACTGTATCTTTTAATCCCTTTCACCTGTCTCACCCATCCACTGCCTCTTCTTAATGTGGGCTGTGGTAAAAAAAAATTAAAAATAAATAATAAAGCCTTGAAAATAGTGATGTAAAACATTCATTATTGTGGTTTCAAAATCTAAACCTTACTCAGCTTATTATTAGGGCAAATTCATACTAACACCTTCACAAAGGAGTAGATAATTTGATTTTATAAAACTACTTATTACTAATTCTCTAAGGCAATATTAGAAATATCTTCATTTTTATACTCAAATAGCAAAAAAAAAAAAAAAAAAGACCTATTGAACTCTTGGGTGCTATTTTTACTGAGCATAGAAACAGGTATGCCCACTATACTGGGCATACTCTATCTAACTAGAGTTATTGGCAGCTATAAGGTGGCAAGTTGGAAAGATGTGAGCTAAGGAAGGAGGGAGAAATGTGTTTGCAGTACATGTAAGAGAAACCTTAAGAAACATCCAGAAGTAACTGGGAGTACATTATTAGGGTTTTTTTAAAATCCACACTATTTCTGATATTACATAAAAGTATATTTTGTAGTCACAGATTGATAAGGCTAGGGATGTATGGAATATATTTTTGCCCTTTGAACTGGAATAAGCTTGACCAGGAAAGGAAATTAGATATATTTATTTCAGTAAAGAAATGTCTTGTTGGTTTTAGTTGTTTAGGACTAGTTTTCTAATCAGAAATGAGTGACCTTTTATCAATTCTTATCTATTGTGATTATATTTTTTCTTATTGGATCTTTTGGTGTGTTGTATTCTTTAAAAAGATTTCCTAATATTAAGGCATTCTTACACTTATAGTAAGAACCCTACATGATCATGATGGATGATTTTTCTAATGCTAAAAAACTGATAAATTTGTATTTTGGGCTTTCAATTACATTCATGCAATCCCTATCTAAATAACAGAGGTATTCTTCACAGAGCAAGAAGAAACAATCCAAAAATTTGTATGGAAAATAAAAAGGCCCCAAACAGCCAAAGCAATCTTGAAAAAGAAAACCAAACCTGGAGACATCACAATCCTGGACTTCAAGATGTATTACAAAGCTATAATCATCAAGACAGTATGGTACTGGCACAAAAACAGACACTCAGCTCAATGGAACAGAACAGAAAACCCAGAAATGGACCCACAAACATATGGCCAACTAATCTTTGACAAAGCAGGAAAGAATATCTAATGGAATAAAGACAGTCTCTTCAGCAAATGAGGCTGGGAAAACGGGACAGTGACACGCAGAAAAATGAACCTCAACCACTTTCTTACACCATACACAAAAATAAATTCAAAAAGGATGAAAGACCTAAATGTAAGACAAGAAGCCATCAAAATCCTAGAGGAGAAAAGCAGGCAAAAACCTCTTTGACCTTAGCTGCAGCAACTTCCTACTCAACACACCTCTGGAGGCAAGAGAAACATAAGCAAAAATGAACTTTTGGAACATTATCAAAATAAAAAGCTTCTGCAACAGCCAAGGAAACAATCAGCAAAACTAAAAAGGAACCGACAGAATGGGAGAAGATATTTGCAAATGACATATCAGATAAAGGGTTAGTATCCAAAATCTATGAAGAACTTCTCAAACTCAACATCCAAAAAAACCCAAATAATCCAGTGAAGAAATGGGCAAAAGACATGCATAGACACTTGTCTTAAGAAGACATCCAGATGGCCAAATGACACATGAAAAGATTCGCAACATCACTCATCATCAGGGAAATACAAATCAAAACCACGAGATATCATCTCACACATGACAGAATGGTTAACATTAACAACTCCGGCAACAACAGATGTTGGCGAGGATGCGGAGAAAGAGGAACCCTTTTGCACTGTTGGTGGGAATGCAAACTGGTGCAGCCACTCTGGAAAACAGTATGGAGGTTCCTCAAAAAATTAAAAATAGAACTACCCTATGACCCAGCAATTGCTTCACTAGGTATTTTTCTAAGGGATACAGGTGTGCTGTTTTAAAGGGGCACCTGCACTCCAATATTTATGCAGCACTATCGACACTAGCCAAATTATGGAAAGAGCCCAAATGTCCATCAACAGATGAATGGATAAAGAAGATGTGGTATACATATACAATGGAGTATTACTCAGCAATCAAAAAGAATGAACTCTTGCCATTTGCAACTACATGGATGGAACTAGAGGGTATTATGCTAAGGGTGAAATTAGTTGATCAGAGAAAGACAAACATCATATGACTTCACTCATATGAAGAATTTAATAAACAAAACAGATGAACATAAGGGAAGGGAAGCAAAAATAATATAAAAATAGAGAGGGGACCAACACATAAGAGTCTCTTAAATACAGAAAACAATGTTGGTTGCTAGAGGGGTTGTCCGAGGGGGATAGGCTAAATGGGTAAGAAGCATTAAGGAATCTACTCCTGAGATCATTGTTGCACTATATGCTAACTAATTTGGGTGTAAATTAATTAATTAATTTTTAAAAATTACATTCATAAGTTAAACTGGTCTGTAATTTTCCTTTCAGTCATCTTTGTTAGTTTTGATACAAGCTTGTGGCTAGCTTCATAAAATAAGTTGGCTATCTTCCATTTCACAATGTTTGGTAACAATTTGTATAGCAGAGAATCTACAGGAAAAATATCCCAGGATGATAGGATTTCATGAAAGATTTTTTTGAGAGAGAGAGAGTGCACAAGAGCATTAGCTGGGGAGGGGCAGAGAGAGAGAGAGAATATAAAGCACACTGCACACCTAGAGAGAAGCCCAACACGGGGCTGTATCACACCACCATGAGATCATGACCTGAGCTGAAATCAAGACTTAGACACTTAACTGACTGAGCTACCCAGGTACCCCATGAAAGATATTGCTAGTAGGTTATCCAATGTTGATGCTCCCATTATTGTTTACTAACAGAATCCTGATTTTGACCAGGGCTACCACGTACATTTATTTAAAAATCTTCCATTTCTGGGACACCCGGGTGGCTCAGTCAGTTAAGCATCTGACTTTGGCTCAGGTCATGATCTCAAAACTTGTGAGTTCTAGTCTCGTGTTGGGCTCTGTGCTGACATCTCAGAGCCTGGAGCCAGCCTTGGATTCTGTATCTTCCTCTCTCCCTCTCTGCCTCTCCCTGCTTGTGCTCTCTCTCTCACAAAAATAAATAAACATTTTAAAAACTGTTTTAGACAATAATAAAATAAAAATCTTCCATTTCCCAGCCTCTTTTGTAGCTTAGAGCTGGCCATATGACTTATGACCATGAACTTTATAGAGTGCAAGCAATACTATACTTAAAACTTGCATTTGTAAACCTTTATTTAAAAACAGAAAAAGCATAAAAATATACATGATCTGGGGTGCCTGGGTGGCTTAGTCGGTTAAGCATCCGACTTTCGCTTAGGTCATGATATCGCGGTTGGTGGGTTCGAGCCCCGCGTCGGGCTCTGTGCTGACTGCCAGCTCAGAGCCTGGAGCCTGTTTCGGAGTCTGTGACTCCTTCTCTCTCTGACCCTCTCCTGCTCAGGCTGTCTCTCTCTCTCTCTCCTAGAAATAAATAAAACATTAAAAAATTTAAAAAAAAGGGGCGCCTGGGTGGCTTAGTCGGTTAAGCGTCCGACTTTCGCTTAGGTCATGATCTCGCGGTTCGTGGGTTCGGGCCCCGCGTCGGGCTCTGTGCTGACTGCCAGCTCAGAGCCTGGAGCCTGTTTCAGTCTGTGACTCCCTCTCTCTCTGACCCTCCCCTGCTCACGCTGTCTCTCTCTCTCTCTCCTAGAAATAAATAAAAACATTTAAAAAAATTTAAAAAAAAAATTAAAAAAAATACATGATCAGTCAAGTAAAAAAAAAGAGAAAAACATGATTAAAGAATACAATTTAAGATGAACAGAAAAGACAAAGAACTATGCTTTTGTTGATTTTTGCCTATAAGGCCCCAAATTAACAGACTTCTCACTATCACTCCAAGTACACATCCTACCATACCTCCCTTGTTCTAGATATGCTAGCATCCTCGGTGTTCCTCGAATATGTCAACCAAATTCTGTTCTTATGGCTTTGGCCCTTCTGTTTCCTTTGCCTAAGATGCTCTTCCCACAGACAATTGCATGGCTTGCTCCCTCTCTTCATGGTGTGGTTACTGTTCATTTGA